AATCGGGAGGGGGTTTATGGCTATCATGTGCTGTGAGGGCCGCCTCTTGTGGTAGTTTTGAGTACTCAATGATGCGCTCGACTGAAGTCATCTGACTCTCCAACTCCGCTGACTGCCGGACCCCCCACTGAGCCATTCCGGTCAACATTAGGGCTGATATAACAAAATATATTAAACTCAATAATATATTAATAAAGTCATTCAAATAGACATTACCTGAAGACAGGGCCAGTCCAGCACTTCCACCGCCAATACCCTCATAAAACACCATCAATACTACACTAACCACCACTATATAAACGACACAAAACCAGTCCATAACAATAGCCAATACACGTTGTGTACATAATTTCATAAACCACATGGCCGTATGATCATCCTGGTAAATATTAAACTGGCGCTCAAACTCTGCCTGCGCTCCAAAGGCTCGGACACTGGCCAACCCGTTCAGTGTTGTGCTCACGTGAGTAAATATGGGACTTTTAGCTATTTTGATGGTCAAATAAGTTACTATTGTTTTATATGATTGTATGTGGTTTGCAACTCACCCACACCACCGAGCCTTTGTATATCTCTCGCTGATTTAATGTAAACCACTCTCACCAATAAACCAACCATGATCAAAAACAGTGCTGCTATTATAAGGTAGGGATTTACTATAGAGACCACAACAACGATACCTATTATTGAAGTTATGGCCTGAATGTGAAAATGAATAAATTAATACGTGATGAGTAATAAACATGATTTAACTTTAAAATAATTACCATGTTTAGCTCATAACTAATTGACGGAAGCATCTCATCAACAGTTCCCATGTCATTAGTGAATCGGTTCAATATACGACCTGTGGTAGTATTAATTGTTAATACTTGACCATGTTTAGTTATAATTATAAAATGCAAATATAAATTGACATTAATTACCGACGGGATTGTTGTCAAAGAATGATATGGGAGTCCGTAATAGAGTATTGAATATACTGTTGTGAAGGTTAACCGATGCCCGCATACACATCATATACCATGTGTTCACTCGGATTAGTGCCGTCGCAAATAGGGCTGCGATTAGTGATGAATAGATTATAACATCCATATTCTGTTGATCATGGTCAATTTGTTCGGATGTCTTATTCTGGTATTTTTCAGTCCTTAATATCATTAGAGTTAATTAAGAATTAAAAAAGAAATTGTTTTAAATACGGTTAATTAAATATGAAAAATGATTAGCAAAATATACCATCTTGAAAGAAATAATTCGGTTCCGTTTAATAAAACTTGCGATATAATTGTCGCCATAAGCGTAACGATAAGCAGTAGGGGTCCGGCGCCGGCCTTTGCGTACTCCCAATACACCCGTCTTTCAATTGAACCGATTTCTCGGTTTTCTTCGCATATCTGTGGGTCAATCATAGGCTCATCAACTTTGGACTCATCATCAGATCCCTCGTTCCCGTCGGCCGTATTCGTAGATATTGTCCGAACAATTTGATCCCTTTGTTGTTTGACTGCCTTATCGTCCGCTTCCCTCTCCTGATCGCTGAGAATAGACATGAAGTCTAAGCCCCGGGACTGGAGCTCATCATAGGATCCCAATCCCAGACACTTTCCCTCGTCGTTCAAAACCAATATTTGTGTCGCTTTTCGTATGAATTGGATNAATATTTGTGTCGCTTTTCGTATGAATTGGATTTGATGTGTGACTAGAATACGGATTTTGTCGCACAAGTAGTCGACTATACATCTGGTGTTCATTATATCGCGAATACATTATATGTTAGACTTATTTGTAATCATAATTATAACAATCATTGCATTACTTATCAAATATATGTTCGGCAACACTAGTGTCGACAGCACTCAACGGGTCGTCCATTAATACGATGTCTGAGTTTCGATACAGAGCTCTAAATAACACAAAAATCATAGCAATTCTTATTAAAACTCAATTAAGCAAATATTTTAAATAATTAATTTATAGTAATTTTAATTTCCATTTAAAAATAAAATTTGATCTAATAAATTAATCAATTCATTTAGTAAAAATGCATAAATAAAAAATAAATGCAGACTGTAATGTTTTATCTTTAGAATTTTAAAATGTAAATTTAATTAAAATTACTGTTATTTTGGTTAATCTCAAAATTCTTCAGTGACTTTGATATAATTTTATAATAAATACCTTAATTAAATTTAAATCAAGATAAAGATTACAATATAAAATACTGATGTTCACGCAAATCAAGAATTCAAATAAATTCAAACTGTGTCGTCTATACGATATACATTTCATGTATTGACTTTTGAAAATTTTTGTAAGCTTATTTTAATTTTGAACATCAATTATAATTTCTGAAATTGCCCTGGTCATTCTAATGTTATTTAATTAAATTTATAATAATTGCCAAATTAACATTAATTTTTCTTTAAGGTAAATGTATTTTAAAATTTAAATTATCAATAGTTATATAAATATCTTAAAATCTGTAAAATTATATGAATATCACCAAAGAGTATGAATTTTTAATATAACCAATTTTAAAGGTCATATGAGCACCAAAGACATTAACTTAAGTTTTTCATTTAAGAAAAATACTAAAACATTTATATTTATAAAACATAAAATTAATATATTAATATTTTTAATAAAGTGTATAATACAATGAATGTAGTTTACAATGCAATGCACACAAACCTGGCTAACGTGATGCGGGCCTTCTGTCCCCCCGATAGCTGTACTCCTCTCTCACCGACTAATGTCTTGTCTCCGAACGCGAATATCTCAAAGTCTCGCTCCAAAGCGCACACCTCTACCACTCGCTTATATCGGGATTCGTTATATTCGGTTCCAAAAAGTATATTATTTTGAACACTAGTATTGAAACTCCAGGATTCCTGACAGGAATAGCTTATTGATCCCACCGTTTCTATACTCCCCGACAGAAGCGGCAGCTCTTTTAGAATAGTCATCAATAGTGAGCTCTATATAGTTTTAAATTAATAATTATTTTAAAATTATATTAAATTTAATTACAATTATTTTCATACCTTTCCGGCGCCCACCGGTCCGATGACTGCCAACAGATCTCCCGGTTTTAAATTAAACGATATTTTATGTAGATTTGGTAACGGACTTTCCTGCAATTCAAATAATTATATAATATTTGTTTATTTATTAAATAATATATATTTTCATACATCACTCCATTTGGCGGTTATGTTATTAACAAAAATTTCAGGCAATTGTTTACCATTTTTCGCACTTTTAGTTAAAACATTAGTATTATTGCCTGAATTTACGTCCCTTTCTTCCAACTCTAGAAATGTCTAAAAATCAAACAATAAAAAAAATTAAATAATAAATTCAAAAACCATAACATGTGTAAACACTACTTGTATTCGCCGACAGGTGACCAGCATTTCTGCCGTGTCTTGTATAGCGTCCGGAAATTTTGAAGTCATTGTTAGTCTTAATATACTGAACAAAGACATCGACACAAACACCGCTTTGGCTGTCAATACATTACCCGTCAGTACGTATGTTATGAATACAGCGTGTCTTGTATAGCGTCCGGAAATTTTGAAGTCATTGTTAGTCTTAATATACTGAACAAAGACATCGACACAAACACCGCTTTGGCTGTCAATACATTACCCGTCAGTACGTATGTTATGAATACAGCGAATAGTATTATATGTGAGGCCGCGTAGAATATGGACAAATTAATGGCATATAGAAAACATCCAACTCTAATACGACCCACCTCGCTCCTATTTATGTGAAACACAATATTAATCATTAGTACAAATAAAATAAAAAGCTAAACTACATTTCAACCATAATGTAATAATTCAAATTATTATTTATTAACAAAATCAGTTGCTAATACATTGTATTATGTTACAGTTTTAATTCATTATATGTTTCATTTATTATTAAAAATGAAATTTTCATTTATAGTGTTAATTTAATGTTGATTTATTTGTATATTATAATTAGAAATATTTTGATTTTGATAAAATAATTGGACCGAAAAATTTAAATTTAGACCAAATTCACTTAATAATTAGTTAATTTTTTAGTTAATGTATTGATTTATACTATAAATATAGCATGATTAAAATATGCAATTTGTCTGACATTTCCACTGATTAAACTATTACATGGCAAATATCTAACTTGTAAGTATCTTACTTTTTTTTTACAGTTTAAAATGTAATATTAAAATTTAATAATGTATTTAAAAAATAAATACATACTTGCGTGCGGTGGCCACAAGTCGGGCGAATGACTGTTCCCAGGCATACATCTTAATGACTCGCATTCCAGTGATTATTTCATTCATTAATTTTAGACGATTGTCAGTTAACTGTGCCGTTGTAAACCTGCAAATTATTTATTATACATTAAAATTAATTATTATCAAAAGTTTTTATAAATAATTAATTAATATTTAATAATTATAAATAAGCAATTTTAAGCAATTGGTACCTGAGTTTAGAGAAAAGTTTGCCCATAAATGCCTGAAATGGTATTAATAGGGCCAATAGTCCGACGCCAACGAAACAATAGTAACTCAAATATCCGTACATTATATATATGGCAATTGTTGTCTGTATGGGCGCTATAATCAGATACGGCACCGTAAATGTGAACTATTAAAGCAAAATATAATAAAAATAATTACTAATACCGGTACAATTATTACATTACATTGATTCTGTGGATAATGTAAAATTTGAGCATAAACTATACCTGATCCAAACGACTCACATCGTTGGACATTAGATTGCCAATTTGACCGACGGTTGTTTTTGCCATCGCTGCCCGGCTCAGTTTTAGAGACTATATAATTACATAATTTATATGATAAACTTAATATGTTGTAATAAATACATCAAAAGATACAATATAATAAACAAATAATTACCTTGTTATACATTTGCGTACAACAGGCGCTTCTCATTCTCATGGCTAGTCTCATCATCATATGGAGGGTCGGGTGATGTATAGCAGTGAATAGGGCTGAGCACAGGCACACACCACCGGCGGCCAGACACGCCTGAATATACGTGATATCTCCGGTGTGGCTGAAAAAGTCGATCACAAATCCCAGCAAAAACGGTTGACCGACACGTATTACACATTCCTTTAAATAAAATAGATTACAAATATTAGTGATGTTAATGTGATGTTATAAAAATATAATTGTTAATAATTGACCAACTTCAAATGTAAATATAATCAGTGAAACCCAATAATATTTATGGTAAGTCCAGAATAAAGCTTTCCAAAATTTAGGGCACCCTTTCCTGCGCTCGTGAATCCAATTCCTGATTAATAATTATTTGTGGATTAATACATAGCTGTCTCCTCCATGTCGTCCAACCCTATAGTTCTATACATACCTTTCCAGATGTCGGACAATACGACTCGACTCGTCGTGTCGGGAGCACCGGTACATGTCCTCCATATTGAGACCGTTTTTCCGAAATCCTGTGATGAATACCCGGTACACGAATCTGAGTTACGAGTATATATCATGCTCAAATAATTATTTAATGTAATACATATTTAAAAATGCTTTTTATTTAAATTAATATATTAAAAATAAAATTATGCAGATGATAAAATTCTATAGAACTTAAGACTATTTTCCAACAATTTAAGTTTATTATTTTTATTAAAATTAAATACAATTACAATACGGTACAAGTAATATACAATTTGTAATATTTTACATACGATAGAAAATATTTCTGAAATAAATTCGCATTGTCCCATGGTGATTTATTTATTATTTTTGACTCTTCTCGCATAATAGTTAATAACAAATTTATATAATTATTAATCCATGTTGAAAACAAATATAACACAGTAAATAATAAATTCAATTATATAATTATTAACAAAATTATTTCAATTCAAAGTAAAATCAAAGCAATTATTTTATAAACCAAACAAAAGTGTGAATTAAAATTAGAAATCACACGTTTTTATATACAATAAAACATGAATTGTATGAGTGTAAATTTTATAACATTAAATTTAATTGACCTTATCGTAGAAAGTGTATATAAAAGTGACTGATATAATTGACAGCTATTAAAATAACTAGTTGTAAATGATTGCACAAGAATATTGTGCTAATATTTTGCGTACAAAAAGTACAATTAAAAAACGATTTTTAAACGTTGTAAATTTTTTCATTAAATATATGAAATATTATTTTAAATATAAAAATACAAATATTTACAATGATTATAGCATACAAATGATAGTGGCTTACAGTAGCAACCTTGTTGCTAAACAAATGTGTGCATTTGTCCTTGATGCTATGTTAATAAAATGCTAGTGCAGCCTGATGTAACAGTCATGTAACACAACGTGCTTTCTATTATAAACTTTATCATAAAGTCATATTATGTCAAGTATCTAACTTATCAAAAGCGTATATACCTTTATTAGCACCTGTGCTACAAATCAAAAACATTTACACTACCAATTTCAGAATATAATCTATGTAATATAATCTAATTAAATCTATTACAGTCAATTTGAATAGTAATTCTATATTTTGTCATATTACCTTTTCTTATTTTATTTCCATTTAATGTGTAACCAAAACACCATATACTGTACTTTTAATTGATCAATTAAAAATCATCGTAAATTTCAGTTTAAATTCAATTTTATTAATTAATAAATTTAAAAATACACATATAATGAATTAAATAATTATAGCTAAATTTACTTTAATTTATTACATTAATTGGCAGTGTATAAGAAGTTTATAACAACATTTAACCAAACAGTTTGAATGGATTGGGCAAGGACAGTTTGGCATCACCCTTTCCAATGGACATACCGTCGAGTCCGATATGAGCCTCAAGTGGACCGACAGATGCGGTCGCGCCGTCCAAACCGATGTGCGCCCCGAGAGGACCGGCAGAAGCAGAGGCGCCGTCCAAACCAATGTGCGCTCCGACCACTTGATTTCCGTTAATCTCTGCCCCAATGGTTGCACCGTTTGGCCCAACATTTCCCTCAACGGTGTGATGACCGGTGCGACCGATGTTGAAAGTGGCGCCGTCTTTACCCACGTGTCCTCTGATCCCGTGATCGGCGACAGTCTCTAAGCCTATTCCCAAACCGTCGGCGCCTTTGGATAAGTCTAGTTCTGCGACTCCGGGAATTCC